ATCTATCTATCTATCTATCTATCTATCTATCTATCTATCTATCTATCCATCCATCCATCCATCCATCCATCCATCCATCCATCCATCCATCCATCCATCCATCCATCCATCCATCCATCTATCTATCTATCTATCTGGGGGGTGGGGGGGGTTACACCTTAGACAGTTCGTAAGTCCATCTCAGGGCCACAAAGACACAAACGATAGACGACCATTCACACACTTACTCACATGTAGAGGCAGTAAGAGTTACCACTGAACCTAATATACACGATTTTGACCTATAGGAGGAAACCGGAGTACCCGAAGAAAACCCATGTGTGCACGTTGAGAACATGCAAGCTCCTCCTACAAAGGCCAGGAGGTGGACGTCCGACCTTCTTGCTGTGAGACGACAGTGCTCCTGCACCGTTGTGTCGCCCATCTTATACAACTACCACTGTCAAAGTTTCATTCAGAAACTTTATGTTCAGCCATTCTTTATGTACAATAGCTGCCTGGTCTAGAACCAAAGAAAGGGATGGGTGTTGTTCCAGATTTAAAAGCAAAATATTCTGAGAACATCTAAATCCTAATCTGGAGTGCTGTTCCAAAAAGACAGCTGATCTGAAACAGACAGTGGACACACTGTATATAATTCCAGCCAGACATAAATATTTAGCAATAGTGCATAAAAACACAAGGATTAAGTTTAAAAATAATAATAATAATAAAAGTTTAATTGTTACTACATGCATATAAGGCTGACAGAGGTGAGAGAATATTGCTGAACAAAGAATTTCTAAAATATTAGATTAATTAAATGTTTGCGTACCACTTGACAGGCCCAAATCTGTCTTAAACAATTAGTCAGCTCTTCATCCTAAAACTAATACAACATACAGGAAATGCTTTACAAGTCTGACATATTTGTATGAAGAAAACACTGCCAGAAAAGGGCATTTTAAAATCATAATTCTGTCTTTATATTAATGAACACAAACAAAAAAAAAATGCAATTAAGATGTTGCTGGAGTTTCCAAATGACCTTACTTCAACAGTGAGGGTACAGATGGCAATAGGTCATTGCGCTCTCTAACAACCTTTGAAAAACTGCCTGTGAAATTGTCACTGATTTTGGAAGGAGAGAAGTCCTTTAAAAAGCTCCCCTTGAGGCCCTGATTGTGAATGACCTTTTTCTTTGGTGGGGAATAGCCTCAATCCCCAAACTGAGAGAGCCTTGTCTGGCCTCCCTGGTCACTAAAAGCATGCTTTAAAGTGCCAATCCTAATTATGGTTACCCGGTCTCTACGAGCAGCTGCTTGGACCTGTTCACCTCCTTAATTCTGTTCACTGAAACAAACAGTTCTTAAGAACAAATCATTCTCTAAATATAAGGGGGAGTGATTTTCATTTTTCAGGCTGTTTCTGATGTAAAATAGGAAACAAGTCTATTTTTGACCATCTGGTCCAGTTTGTTTGCTAAACTTGCCAAGGCTGAATCCTTATTAAGAGTCCAGAAACAAACTAATCCAAATGGCAGCAGCACGGCCCGCCATTTTTTTTTTTTTTTCCCGAATACTTCAGCAACACTTGTAAAAATAGATTATCGTGTTTGTGCAAGAGCTAGAACTAGCTGCTGCCGTTTAACTTCTCTTAACAACTTCTGGTAAATTCAGATTACATACCTCAGATATTAGCCAAACAACAACGACGAAAGAGAAAACTATGAAAATCAAGTAATCAGATTAAAAACAAATGGTTATTCAAGATTTCATATCTAAAATATTCTGGCCTGGCACGTCTATTATTGTCAGGAAAAGACCAATATTCATTTCCTCTTGAACACGTTCATTCATTCATTCAACCTTTATTTATTCAGGTTAGTCTCATTGAGCCACGAGGACATTATTTTGTCTTCATTTGCCCCTGAGAAAAATATGACATAAATTAGGATTATTTGTTTTGTTTAGGAACATAAAGGAGGGTTGTGGTGACGGAGCAGGGACTCAGCAACACATTCGTGGGTATTTTCTACTATTTAGAATAAGTCTTTAGAATGATAAGTCTGACTTACTGTTGTGCTTCAGTAATCAGCAGCTTTGCTGTGGTCGCCTGTTATTTTAACTCCTGACCAGTATAAACCAACTTAGCAGTTTAGTTATCTTTTAAGCTACATATTTCCAAATTTGAGTGTTAAAAATTGAGCCTGGCTTTTTCAATTAAAAAACTCATAAGCACTGTCAATATAATTGTCCAAAATAATTAATCTGGTCTCTGCCCCAGGCTCCAACCGCTGTGGTCCAATGAGACTGAGTAAACAACGTCTACAGACGCTTTCCATGATTGCTTCTGA